AGCCACAACTTCTCTGGACAACCTGTGCCAGTGCCTCACCACCCTCATCGTAAAGAATTTCCTTCTGCTATCTAATCTAAAGCCACCCTCTTTTTCAGTTTAAAGCCATTACCCCTTGTCCCATCACTATGTGCCCTTGGAAAAAGTGCCTCTCCAGCTTTCTTGTAGGCCCCTTCAGGTACTGGAAGGCTGTTCTAAGGTCTCCCCAAAATTTTCTATTCTCCAGGCTAAACAACCCTCAACTCTCTCAGCCTTTCCTCAAAGGAGAGGTGTTCCAGCCCTCTGATCATTTTTGCGGCCCTCCTCTGGACCTGCTCCAACAAGTCCATGTCCTTCTTGTACAGAGGGCCTCAGAGATGAACGCAGGACTCCAGGTGGGGTTTCAGCAGAGCAAAGGAACAGAATCACCTCCCTCGACCTTCTGGCCACACTACTTTTAATGCAGCCCACGATACGGTTGGGCTTCTGGGCTGCAAGCGCACATTGCTGGGTCATGTTGAGCTTCTAGTCGACCAACACCCCCAAGTCCTTCTCCTCAGGGCTGCTCTCAATCCATTCTCCACCCAGCCCATATTTGTGTTTGGGATTGCCCCAACCCATGTGCAGGACTTCGTACTTGGCCTTGTTGAACATCACGAGGAACATATGGGTCCTTTCCACATGTTCTGCTGTATTCATGCTGTTAAAATACACAAATTTACAGATGTCACAGAATTCCCCTGCAGTTATATTATTTTCATTCTACAGAATGTATTTACAATAAACAAGTCACCATGAAATCTAGATGCCACACTGCCACATAATGTAGCCCCCTCAGTTGCTTTGTCTGAGGCCCAAATCAGAACCAGATGGTGTCCTTCTATCAATTTCCCTCCGTATTAGAAATGACACTGCTTGCATTTGGGTCCCTGTGGAAGACAGATGCTATAAGTGGCCATTTAAAATGGTTGAAGGGCAGAACTAAATAACCGAAAGTTGTTTTTTCCTGTAGACTCTATGCAAGATCTGGGCTACCTAGCCAGGCTTTTAGATACAGAAGTAAATATACAGTTTGTTCCCAAAGCAATTTTGCATAAACTGTTACTTTGTGCTAGATAAATGGAGAATTAATCTCTGTCCCCACTACACTGTTCACTGCCTGTTTCTCCCACTAGCCTCTCAAAAGGGAGAAATGCAACTACTCTGTTTAATGAGCTGCTATTATTCTTATTATGATGCCCAATAAAAATTAAGTTTTTATTTTCCTGAGGTCTGTCCTTCAGGAAATGTCAGCCAAGCATAACCCAGCAAAAGCAAACACCACGTTTGCCTTGGCTTCTGGGACACTGCATGTTCCCAGAACGAGGGCAGAACAAAATACTGGGGCCTAGGCACACCGCCTGCCTTGAAAATTGGGCACTGCCTAAAGCTAGTTTGAAGATATTTTTGGATTAACCACCAAGGAAAAGCCAACAATTTTCCTGCCTTACTATACATTAATATAATCAATTAGCAGTGCCTAGCTGACAAGTGGCAAAAATGGGTCTCACGCCAGGTTTGTGAAAAACAGTTTGAACACCATGCTCTCTGGTTTTGGCCCATGTATTGTAAACATGAGGACACCCTTATTTCTTCAAATGTGCCCCAACAGAATGGGTTCATACTATAAATCACTTCAACTGAAATTGTGTGGGTTTATTTTCTGTATTAAAAATTACAGAACATGATTCATCCTCTTGTCACTATGTTTTGACATGAACACAACTCCTCCACAATAAATGGAGTCACACCAAACTGGGGTGCTAAAACAGGCTTTTAGGCAGCACTGTTTTTACGAAACATCATCCTCTAAACAATCTCTACTTTCACTAAGTCGACAAGACTGAACTACAAAATCATTCCATTCTATGATGTTTATTTGTGAAACTCTCACAATCCATGTGTGGCTTCCTTGAAATTGTACTAAACTCACATACAAACCTAAGCAAACCACAAACAGGACATGAATGCTAGCATGCTTCTGCACCCCAAGATCCTCTTCTTTGAACACAACCTGAAAATAAGGATGGGTTTAAGAACCATGTCCCCAACCAGCTTTCTCAAAGGACAAGAAAACTTTAAGATTTGATCTATGGATTAATAAATTTGGCTTGGTTTTCAGTCACATCTGTTGTTAAAAGAGCCCAGTCCTACAAATGCAGGATCTGTTAAAAAAAGGTACACTCACTAAGACCAAAATTTTCAGGATATACAAGCACAACCTGCTAATCCCCCTGTTTATCCCTAACTTTATCAGGATAACAAAGTAGATATGGATGTGATAGCAAAATGTATGAGACCGCACATCCTGCCTTTTTCCAAGGGACTCAGCTGTTTCTCACCCCCACCAGTCACTGCTCTATTGCCCATCATTAGAGTCCTTCCTCTGAGATACTGTCTGAAGACTGTTTGATTAATTTACATTGTCTTCACAGATGCTGAGACTTACAGTTCCCTGAAAGCCACATGAACCTGTGAGCTTCAAAAAATCCAGATCAGTCCAGGGCTGGAAGGTCTTACTTGGTTCTTTGTGAGTGCATGCCCCAACATCTCTGTACATTACTGTGTTAGACCAGAAAACTTCCAGCGTAATTACTCCTTCCTAACAGGAGAAATCTCCAGTGTTGTCCTATCAGACTTCTTTTACCATATGCCACTTTTAAATGCAGATATGTTTTCATTGGCACAATACTGACCTAAAGCATGCTGGGCTTTTGGAAGGAAAATCTACGGGGAGAGAAAAAGAGAGAGGAAAACAACCTCATTCCTCTAACAGGTTACCTTATAAGCAACCAGCTTTCTGCAGTTGCCCAGGATCCTGGCAGGCTGGGAGCTATTCTAGGGGAGAGAAGCGGATGCAAAGACCTGCATGCAAAATGCAGTCCGTCACATGGCAATGGTGTTTATCATTCACATTCCACTCCTGTACCATTGGTAACATGCAGTGACACTAAAGTTGGACTTTATCAGCCTGTTTCTGTTCCTACACATGCGACTGTCAGAGAGCTTTGGCAACAGCTGAAGCACTGAACAAAAACCCTAATAATAATTCTGGGCTCCGTAAGATCATTTAAACAGCTTTGACAGGACTCATTGAACAGACAAGAGAGCCCTGAAACTTTCAAGATGAAAGCAGAAATACAAGCATGACAGTCAAACTTCTTTTAAGTTAATACCTCTAACAATATGACCAGAAATAATTTTCCAGAGAAATGCAGGCAGGAGACTAAATATGTAACTGAAAGACATTGCTCCTGGACTGCAGTCCCAGCTCTGCCACTGATTTGTTCAGTGATTTCTTTTGGGATATTTAACCCCTGGTTACACCCCCTTCCCCACTGGCAAATGGACAAAAGGATATTGAACTTCCTGGGTGAGGCTAAGGTAAGCAGATATGTTCTGCCACACGTTTCCAAGGCAAGCACTGTACTTGCGTAAAATATTCAATATGCTACCCATATGTTCATTCATGCCTCTATTTTGCTAGTCCTGGCAACTCTGCTATTTATTTCAAGTGAGAAGTTTTATATTCCTTTCTCCATGGATGCACAAAATACACTACAAGTCATGGAAAGCTGCTTCTAGTAAACATTTCTGAATCCACTTAATTCTTGGTTTAAGTCCTTACTTAAAACCAACTCTGCCACGAAATCACCCTAAAACATGACAATGACGAGGCAAGATCATAAAATGAAACCTTATCATATTATGCCAAAACCAGCTATGTCTGCACTGCAATAGAAATATGAAAGGGAGATGTCTGATCTAACGCTGCTCCGCATTTGCATGAGCAGGTGTGTTCCCGGGCTCTTGTACATAATAACGGGGAGAATGTAGCCTGTGTCCAAGTAAGCTGCGAGCTGGTTTGAAGCAAACCAGGGGACCAAGTTTTCCACACAACACAAACTGTGGAGCTTGTGACCAGAATATGAGTTCAAAATGGGATTAAGCACATTCACAAAGTCACAGTCTATTAAATCTCCAACTCAGGATATGGCTAACCTGCTGGTCGGTGTTGCATCAGGGAACAGACCACTCAATCACTTGTAAAGGCAGGGGCCAGGGCAAGAGCTGCCTGGGAGAGGGGCTCCCCTGCTCCCTTCACTCACATCTGCCCCTTTCTGGTGGCTCCAAAGCTGCCCCACAGCCACTCGCAGTTACCTAGCCCACCAAGGAAAGGCTCACACTGACTCTGAAAGGCAGTTTATTGCCATGGAAAAAGGATGCTGCCGCTGTGACTCCCTAGCTTGCAGTCCTGCTGCGTTTTGTTCTGGAGGCAGCACGTCACCAAAGTGCTAAAGGGTTCAGGAGAAAGATGTCGGGCCACCTGCAACAGGTGGGTGCCGTCCTGAGCTGTGCCCAGCCACCCACCGCCTCTGAGCGGATGGGATGTGTGAGCCCAGGACAGGATCAAAGGTCGCTTCGGTCCCCTGGACCGGGGAGCCCGGAACCAGAGGCAAGCACTGCAGAGGCAGAGGCAGCCTTACCGGCGCAGCACAGAGAGGAAGGATCCCCTTCCCCGACCTGCTGGCAGCGCTCCCCGTGCCGGGGGCAGGAGCAGAGACTTCCCGTGGCCAGGGCTGGAGCCCTGGTGTCACACGGCCTGAGCAGCACCTTTTGGCCAACAGTGCCACCCTCGACGGCTGCCCCGGGGGACCTGGCCCTGGGCTCTGTGCTTGCTGCAGGAGCACCCGCCCCGGCTATGGAGGTGCCGAGGGCCCGG